TTAATTTTTTGGTTCTGAGCTGCTTGGATTGCATGGCCAGCAGGGTGTGATCATTTTAAGAAGCCAAATTATCAAGCAAATATATATATATATATATATATATATAAATTGATGACAGTGTTGGGTGCATTTTATAATGCTCTTTAAGCAACAAATTAGATCCAAATAATCATGACTGATATTAGATCTGCTGCAACTGGAGTATTTTAAGAATGGAGGATGCTAGATTGCTCTTGTAACCTCTAGGTCTTTTGCCGAATGGGCTGAACTCAACCTGTTTGTTCGACCATTTTTTTTTAATAACCTGTTTGTTCTACTTGAATGCTAATATCAAAATAATATCTGTGTTGACTAAATTTCAATTATTTAAAAAAAATGATTTTATTTGTATTTTAAAAATAATTTATTTATTTTTATTTAATTATTGATATAAAGTATTTTTATTTTTTATATAATAAAAATTAAAAAATCATTAAAATTTTTAATGAAACTTTCTTTTGCTTAGATGAAATATTTTATTTTCATCCATAAGTGATTAAAATTATATAAAAAATGTAGTATGATGGTTAAATGATATAAAAAAAAGTAAATGATAAATATGAAACCCCAATCTAATACAAGTGATAAATTTGATCATTTTTTTCATTTTAATTTAAAGAAAAATTTTTTTTTATGAAAATAAGCATGTGCACAACATGACATCTTTAAATATGCTTTGATATATGTGTATATATATATATATATTACACGTGGCATGATAGAAATTTAACCCTTGAAAAAAATTAAACGGCATCATTTTGTCACTTGATATACATGAACTAAAAGACAAACTTTTTTTGTGTTCTTTTCTTCCATTCTATTATCTCGTAGGCCTATCGTCCCCCTGAATCTCATTTCTCTCTATCTGTCTCTGAACCTTTCGCGGTGCATTAGATTCAGGTAAGCTGAGCTTAGGTAAGATGTGTTTCACTCAATTTATTTGTTTAAAAATCAGGTTATTGAGTTGTTATAGTAATTTAAGTAGCTATGGTAATTTGAGTTTTAGTGATGGTAAATGGTGAAAAACCGAGGATTTTAGTTGTAGAAGGAAGTTTCTGATGCTTAATTTAGTTAGAGGTAGGGGTAACTCGCAAGTAATGTAAGATATGCAATGGATTATTAATCATTAATTTTTTTGTCTTTGCAAATCAAAGAGGCAAATTGAAATGGAATGAATTTGTTGTTTCCTGGTTTTAAATTTGCTTATATTTTAATTATAAAAAAGGTAAAACAAAATAGAAAGCATAAAGAAGAAGCAGTGATAACTCAATTTTATTACAGGTTCATCTATAAGTAAAGTGGTAAGTAGGAATTTTACTGGCAGGCAACATGTTTCTCTATTCCTTAACACATTATATTTGGCCTTAGAAAGTAGAGTGATTTGTATTTGCATTTGCATTTGCATTAGCATTAGCAGCAGCATTTATTTGATGTGAATTTATGTTTGAAACAATGTTGTCTTCTGTAGGCTTGAGGAAGAATCAAGGTTTTTCTTAAACATGAAGTACTTTGAAGAGAAAGTATAAGCAAGAGAATGGGAAGAAGTTGAGAAGTATTTATCTGGTTTTACAAAAGTTGATGATAACTAATATTCCAGTTGCTGTAGTTGCAACTCTTGCTGCTTATACATTACTTGGAGCTCTCAGTGTATTATGCCAAACATTTATAGAGTTTTGTTATTTCCTTGAAATGTGTATTTGTTATTTTATAATTCTATAATAATATTTAGAATATGGACTAACATATGCTTTGTCCTACTTTTGGTGCATAACCTTTCCACTCTCCAACATCAGCAACAGCTAATACTAGTGCTTTAGCAAGCTAGATGGCTAATGCTTCTACCTCTTCTTCTGTTCAAGTTGCTGTTGTCACTGCATCATCCATGCCTGTTCCACAAAATCAAGGTTAGAACTTCAATTTTGACTCATTGGTAATAGCTTTTACAAAAATTGGCATAATTTGGTCACTTGCTTTATTAATGCACATCAGACAAAATAGTTACAAGATGGTCAAAACACCCATTTAATGTTTTGCTTAAAGTTTTGGGCATGGTTCCATTTTAACAATTGTAGTCTTAAAACATCCAAGAACACCTCTAGTAACGCCAAGCATGGTTGAGTATCAAAACCCTGACCATGAACAGCAAGTGTGGCCTGCTCCATCAGTTGAGGAGGTAATTTCTCATTTTTTTTGTTTGTTTTAATTATTCAATATTGGACTATGCACTAATAGTGTACCAAAAACCATAGCTTTTGCTTAGGAGACGTCATGTAAATCCCATAATCTACCAATGTCATCATCATCTATTTATTTAAAGCATATGTTCTCTGTTCTCCTTATCATAAAAAAATCAACTTTAAGACAAAAATCCCATTAACAACAATGGCTATGATTCCAAGGTTTTTTAGTAGCAGGAGAATCTATTCTTTTTAGACAAATGGGATCCTTTTGAAAGTTTCCCACTAACCACAAGCTTAATAGCCAACGCCCCTTTCTCCTCATGTGAAACCTCTGCAATTGCCAACACCAGGATAAACTAGAAAGAGACCTCAAAGGCTCACATGTTCAAGGCTAACCTTTCAGGGCTGAAGAAAGAAAAGGTGTTAGTGAAAGTTGAAGAAGGTAAGGTGCTGCAAATTAGTGAAGAAAGTAGCAAAGAACAAGAAAACATGAATGACACTTGGCATAGGATCGAGAGGAGCAATGGCAAGTTTTTAAGGAGGTTCAGTTGTAAGAGATTGCAAAGATGGATTCCCTAGAATTATAGAGCAATAATAATTTTCTTCGATGTACCTCTAGAACTTCAAATGCTTTAAAAATTAAGTATTTAATCTATCAATTTATAGCTTACAAAATTTCCTTTAAATATCACATAGATTTTATAAATTTTTTATAATACTTATTCATAACAATAATAAAAAATTAAAATCCATAGCAAAATGTGAGCTTCACTCTAGAATATAATAAAATCATCTAAAATGTAATATACTTTTTTGATTGTATGAAAATATTTGAATTTAATATGCTTAAATGATACATAAATAATTTTTAACTCAAAACATAACTTAATTAAATAATACAACCAAAGGTGACATTTAACATTATCAAAACTTAAATTTTAACATCAACAATTTTTTTATCCCATGATCTCAGTCATTTTTATTAAAAAATAATATATAGCATTATATATTTAACTAACAATTAAAAGGAAAAATTAACTTAAATCAATGTAAAATTTGTTTGTTTTACATTTTTTTTGTAGTTATTGATTTTAATAGATTCAAAAAATAAAATTAAATTATTTTTTGACTTATTTCTTTTATCTCTTAAATTTATTAAAACCAATAATTAAAAAAATTAAACTCTTGCCTTAATAATAAATGATCATTTTGTTCTTATCAATTTCATTTATTATTTTTGGGTTTGGTGATTTGTATTTTGTAGTTACTAAAAAGTGATTTGTTAATTACGATGGGAAAAATAATTTGAAAAAGAAAAAGGAAAGTGGGACACACCAAGTGCTCCTTTGTTTTTTGGCAATTGGCATGCATGTTTTACACGTGGTATTGGTCTCTTTGTAATTATTCATTTACCATAATATCCTTAAGAATCTTGCAGAATCACAATATTAACATTAAAAAAAGTATCTATATATATATATATATATATATATGAAAAAAAATATGCAAGGGTGAAACTGAAAATAAAAGTAACACTGAGACTGAGAGAGAGAACTATCAAGTGTCAACTCTGTGCGCTTCCTTTGTATTCATATTCATTCAGGTTGTCTTTCTCTCATTTTGTATTTTTTAAAAATTAATTTATTTTGAATTTATATATATTTTAAATTAAGTGGAGAAAACAAGACTGGTTGGTGAAAATGGCAAGGCAAATTTAGCTGCACACTTTATTTGTAGTTAATTGTATCTGATTCTGAACCTCACACCTAAATTTGGGGAACCCCTTTATTTCTGATCTATCCTTAGATTGTTTCCTCAGAGATTGTTGGAAAATATTGGAATCTCCTTGTTTTCAGAGTTTTCACACTCCTTTCTATAACTCTTATAAATTTCATTTACCGTTTACTCTTTTCCTTTTTCTTTTTTTTTTTCCTTCGAATTTCCCAAATTCTTCCCATCTCTGACAGTTTTTGCTTCAAATCATCGCATGATTTCTGGTGAGTTTATTCGACCTCTTTTTTTTATTATTTTAAATTACTGCTTCCTCAAATTCTTTGGAAAAATCACCTTTTTTTGGGGTTGGGGCTTCTCTATTTTTTTGGGTTTTGTCCTTTTTTTCTCTGTTTGTTGAAGTTCTTTTTTTTTTTTTTGTTTCCAGAATTTTGAAAAAACGAGCAATATTATTTCCTGTTGTAAAAGAAAAAGAATTAATGAAATTATAATATTAGTGAATAGTTTTTATATATTAAAGTAACATAGTATTAAATTTTAATTATTAGTTGACAAAATTATATATCTTTTAGTATTGGTCATATATATATATATGTGTGTGTGTGTGTGTGTACGTATGTATGCATGTATGTTTGAATGATTATCGGTAAAAGGACTATTTATTTTTCATTATAAATTTTAATTCTATATAGGAATTAATTTAAGCCCCTGGATTTTTAATTATATTTAATTATATAATTAGAGGAATAAATTATAAATATTTCTTTAATTTTATATTTGATGTAATTATATTTTAGATTCTATATAATTATATTAGAGTTTTGGTTAAATGTTTATTTGATTATATATTTTATGTTAATTTTGATAATATCTTCTCAAAAAATAATTAGAAAATATTTCATATAATTATACATTCAATTGGATTATTTAATTCATAAATTCTTTGTGTTTTGTATTACATAAAATGTTTACTTTTTAATATTATATGAATTTATTTGATTGTTATATTTTGGGATCATATTATTCACTAGTTTATATTCATATGTCTAATGTATTTTCATGTAATTGTTTTAACCATTTTGATGTATTTATTACATTTTTATGTCAAATTAAATGTAGTTATTAAATTTATTCTTAATCGGTTTTCATATATGTTTTTCTTGTGATAAAAGTTTAAAATAAGATATCACTATGTACACATGGAAATGATCACCTACTTTATTGAAATTTAAAGATAATTGAAACAAGAATATTCTGCTTCCAATGTTTTATTTTGCCAAAAATGTCTTTTTTGTCCTTTTTTTTTCTGGCAATAAAAAAACCTTACCCAATGAAAATAGGAAACAAAACTTGCAAAAAATGACAAAGGACAGTTTTGTTGTATTGCCTATTTTGTTTCTGGTTATGTTCACAACTCTTCTAATGGCTGGTGGGATTTTGCTTGTTATACATTGCAAAACTTGGAATGTCCAGGTTGTTAGGAGAACCCCAATTTGTCTTTTGCTAAATATTTTGTTGAAGTTTTGAATTAGATTGAGGTAGAGATGATGTTCTGTTGTATGCTTGTTGTTCGAATTAACCAGTTTGGTTAATTGTTTTATAACAACATTCTTTTGGTAAATATACCTTTTCTTCTACATGATGTTTTGTAAGTGTATCGTTTCAGTATATTGTTTAAAATTAAGTGCTATTATATTGGATTTTCTTTTCCCTGATATATTTGCTTTGCTAAATTCAACTAATTTACTGGCTGTTGTTGGTTCTTTATTTTAGCTTTCTGACAAATGTGATGTTTTTTGCATGCAGTCTCATTTATGTTGCCTTCAGTTCTTTCAAATTATACGGATTTTGTGTGGATTCAGTTGAGCTACTGCCCTTAGTTAACATTGCAATTTTTTTCCTGCTCCTATCTAGTTTTTTATTCATTTACTTGCTAAGCAGAGTATGTTTACCATGGGCATTGGATGGACACATACTATCAAGTCATGTTTCAGTTGAGCCTAGAATCTCTTCCCATTTTATGCTATGAGAACTTCTAGTGAGAATTAGTTTGAAAGGAAATCAATTTCACTGGGCAAGAAATTGAAAAGCTTTAGCACTTTCCATTTTTGCATTGAGAAATATAATCTCAAGCAAGCCGTAATTAATTACCCACTAAACCTATTTTCCTCACTTTCCTTTTCCATCAAAAGTGGTTGATAATTGATAATGGCTTATGTATTTGACAGTAGTAGTTAGTTCATTGAAGGGCTATAAAACATCTTTTTAAACAGCTATTTTTGTTACAAATATTTCATTTGTGCAATTCTCTTATACCCAATTCGTGAGTTTTATATTTTCTTCTAATATCTAATTTAGGTTGGAATGGATTGCTGCATCTGGGTATTTCTTAGGGCTTTTCTTTGACGGAAATTTGTTGGCTATCATTATTGTTTTCCTATTAGTTTTTATAAACAGTTGTTCTTGCTGTAATTAGTGTGGAAAAGTTTTGATTTCAAATGTGGTTTTTTAATTGAGTAAATTTCCAAGAGCTCTTCATAAAGCTGGCCATTCATATGTTTATGCTATTGACTTGGACATATACAGCAAAAGATGCCTTGTAGCGTTCGACAAACCTATCTAGATAATAAAAAAGTGTCAGAGGTAGGAAAGGCTAACTGGTCCAAGAATTCTTTGCAGCTGAATGATTGTAGAAGATCGTCAAAGGTTAGATACCTTTCCTGTGCTTTGCCAACGTTAAATAGTTGAGTTCATACTCTTTTACTTTGTGATTAGCTTGAGTAATTTTTTCTATCACTGTCCATATATTATTCAGGATTCCAGAATTTCTTCCTTCAATTTGAGGAACATTGATCAGAGGTAATTCAATTTTGGTTGTTAGATGTGTACAATGTACTTACAGGTCCTATGGCTTCAAATTAAAAGTGATTCACTAAAAATTGCTTTAGGTTACATTTGGAACTTAAATTTGATTTCGTGTAAAAGTGGGTAATAGAATTCATGAAGAAATAACTTTTTGTTATTTTTCAAATTCATGGATTTGCTAGATCTTTATTTTTGTGGAGGATTTGAAATACCTTTACAATTTAGGATCTACTTAAACCATTTCAAACATATATGTGTATTGAAACTTAACTAGTGTTTAGATGATGTTTACCTTCATCACTCAATTTATATAAACTAGTGTTTAGATGATGTTTACCTTCATCACTCAATTTATATAACAAACAAAATTGAAATCCATTCTCTGAAATTCATATTCGCAAACATAGAAATTAAAGTTGTTTTGTGCTTGAGACAATACGTTAACTGTTAATATTCTTTATATTGTATCTTTCTATTGTATTATAAAACTGGCTTTTATGTCCTTGAATCTAGGAATATCATCATAGTCTATGCTACAAGAAAGAAAATGAAAATTTCAAACTTCGGATACTCTATTAATTGGAATTGAACAAAAAACGAAGTTATTGTTTACTATCAATATTCAAATCAATATGAAAGAAAATCTTTGTTTTAAATCTGTTGAAATCCATCCCTCATAGAAGGGATATTCGGTGAAATGTACTAGTTCATATGACTTGAAGTAATTCCTTTTCTACCGAACAGGTATCATAGACAAAATACTTACATTTTATTGACGTGGAAAAATAAAGAAGTGAATGACAAAGTACTTCCTTCTGCCAAACCACCAGCTAATGCTTTGTTGCCTTACTCAAAGTGAGAAAAAATTATGTATTTCTTTCAAAAAGGTTTGACAAATACTCTTTAAAATTTGAATTATCAGTCTATAATGTCTATAATTGTTGCTCAAGGGGTGTGAAAATTTTGTAATGACTATATTACCCTTTGTTTTGAATAAAAAATTTCTTATGCTAGTTACCAGAAAAAATCTAGTTATGTTAAGGTGATTTTTATTTATTAATAGTCTTTGTCCTGTTAGAGTAAAATGACATTTAAGAAATTGATAAATCCTAAATGATTATGAACAAATTGGGTAAAATGTAAGCCAAAAAATTAGTGGCAGAGCTAGGGTTTCTATTAAGGGGGCCAAATACATCTGCGATTACATAATCATTTGCATACACATATTATATTATATATATATTTTATACATAAAATTAAGAATAAAATTATGATGAAAGCAAATATTTAGTTAGAAGTCTATTTTTATCAATTCATTTTATTTTTCTTTGTTATTACTTTTTTTTTTTATCAATTCAAAATAACTAATGAAGTCGACTTTTCAATTCAGGCTAATTAGATATAGCTTTTCATGAAATATTGGGAGTTTCTAATAAAATTAATGTAAAAAAAATTAAAGATTAAAATGTATAAATTAATAGAACTTAATAAATAGATCTATACATTATAACTTTAAAGTTTTCAAAATTTTTAGGTAAATAATCCAACCAAAGCTCTTAAATTACTCATTTTTTATTTTCATTCATAATCTTTATGTAACTCTTTTCTAGTCATGAACTTCACGAATTTTTCTTAAGAATTTATATGTTTTGCTATTTTATCTTTTATTATTAAAGTGTTTAGCTTATTTACACTGGAGTATTTAACTTAGTGATTAGTGCATAATTCTTCATCCAGTTAAACTTGAATATGTGTGTATATGTGTGTTTCTATTGTATTTCACTTTCTTGTTCAGATGAAACAACTTTGATAATTCCCGATTACCAACATTTATGGCTGGAAGCTAATCATTATTTACTTCTTTCTCATTTTTGGATGTGCATTGCATATGTATTTTTCTCTTCTGACATTTTATTTATTTGATTGTGTGACTGGGTCTATCTCCTGTTAATCTTTTAGGTGTGCCATTTTGACTTTCCCTACACTTGAATCTGATGGGCGGTGGAGAATTGTTGCACTACCCTTGCAATATTTTGATCAAACTAACCGTTTTGGATCTGGAACTCAGTTGAATATGAATGGTCTGCATCTGGTCTCCTCTCCATCCATTAATTCATTTAAGGTTGATGGATGGAAGGCACAGAAAGGGCCTCAACCTGAGATTACTTATTCTGCCAAGCCTTTTAGAGACAGAAGCTTTTCTGGATCCAATATGCAACATCAATTTCACAACAGAACCATTGCAAATAAAATGACTAAATTGAATGAAGTGTCCAACAATTCTTCCTGTCATAGTTCCATCGCTTACAATGATTCCTCTGCTGTTATGTCTAATGCTTCTAATCCATCTGCCATGTTCATTGATTGTTTGGAGGAATACAAGTATACAAAGAGAAATTCACGAAAGAAGCCAAGAAGGAAGGGAAAACATAAAAAGAAACATTTGTGTGATGTTCACTCCAGAGAATCAGAAGTCTGTTCAGAGTATACCCGTGGAAGTTCAGCATCTGAAATCTGTGGTAACAATGACATTAATTCTGGATCACATGGAACTTTACCAGAAGTTTCACCATCTGATGGTTTGCTTAATATAACTGATTTTGCAGACAGCAGCAATAGTGCTGTTACAATTTTTCAATCACCAAAAATATGCACATCTGACATTGATGAAGTGGATTTATCAGAATTTATTGTACCTTCTCAAGTTCAGAAGCTTCCTAGGGAGCCTCATGCAGATAATTCTGAAATTGGTAGTGAAGACCAGCAACTTTCTAGGTGTAAAGGAGATATAGAGAGGAGACATCCTTCACATATGGGCTCTGTTGTAGGTATACATCAGAAAGGTTTCTCTGATATGTGTGGTTCTCTAATGTTGGACTCAGTTTCTTTTGGTTCAAACAGTGAAGATGGTACAAGTGCTGGTCATAGTGTCAATCAATTTAACGACAACAGCCATGAAATCAGTCAATCAGAGCTACCAGGTTCCAGTACCAAGAAGGGGTCCTTCAATCGCCTAAACTCATTATGTAGCATTTCAGAAACCCGTGATTGTGCTGAGGGAACCAAGCTTGGTCTGGCTCATAGCAGCTTTGATGGAGGAATAATTGCATCAGGCAAGAGGGGTAAGCAGTTCAAATCTATTCCCGGAAGTTCAAGTCCTTGCAAATTTGGAAGTATAGGGAACTTGCATAGTCGAATGGGAGCAGAGAAGAGTCATTCTGTTTGGCAAAAGGTTCAGAAGAATGCTGTAGAGAAATGCAACACTGAGTTGAAGACAACAAGTCCCATTTGTTCACAGTTTGATGTTACTTTAAAGGATTCTCCTTTGCTGAAAAGAAATTCTAATGCTTCCTATGTAACAACCCTACCTATTACCGATGATAAGAAAAGGGTAAAACATAAGGTTCCTAGGAAGTTGAAACGAAAAGTTAGTCCAGCTTCAAGACAAGAAAACTGCAGTTCTTCCAGGAAGGAGTCTCATCCCAACAAGGTAAACTTAAATTCTCACGTAAAGTCTGGCATGCCAAAAAGTGAAATATTAGATGTTTTAACTTCTTTGGATGACCCTGGAGTAATTAAAAGTCTTTCGAGGTCTTGTTCTCAGCTTGGTTGTGTGATGGTTGAGACAATGAAATCTGAATCAGTTAACGACTTTCAAGTTGGTCCAAGCAGAATGGAACCATGTGAAAGTGTCTGTGATACTGCTTCTGGTTTGAATAATATAACTATAGAGAATCAAGACAGCTTACTGCAAAAGTCATGTGTCCCTTTGGACCATTCAAATTTGCTTGAGGTTCACACTCCAGTTTTCCTTCCTCATCTGATGGTGAATGGTGTTGCTCAAACAGAAAAAGAAATATCTCTTGCTGAAAATGGTAAGCAAAGCCATAATTTGAATGCTGTTCTCCAGAAATGGATACCTATTGGGATAAAGGATCCTGGATTTACAACAACTGCCAGATCTGCCAATTTGTCATTGGAACATTCTAATGAGCCAGATGCTAAAGAGGAGACTTTCAAAATTACTTTTGAAGAGAAAGTTGCTCCCTGTTCTAAGAATCTTTCTTCAGAGAATACTGGAACAATGTGTAGCATTAGGAATGATTCAAGACTTGCAATTAGTTCTCCTGAAAATGAGAACCATATTCAAAAAGTGAGGAATCTGAATGCTTGCGTAAATGATAATGAAGACAAGCAAAATGGGGCTAATTTCTTTATTGATGAAACTAAGGAACAAAATTTATCAGCAACTGATTTAAGCAAGATAGCGAAGGCATTGAATGAAGCCTATAGGGCACAAATGGCATCTGAAGCTGTTCAGATGGCCACTGGGAGTCCCATTGCTGAGTTTGAAAGGCTTCTTCACTTTTGTTCTCCAGTTATTTGTCATTCATACAGTTCAGTAGGCTGTCAAACTTGCTTGCTGGACCAGCGTCCTAGTGCTCTATTGTGTAGACATGAGATTCCAAACATCCGATTGGGATGTCTATGGCAGTGGTATGAGAAACATGGAAGCTATGGATTAGAAATAAGGGCAGAAGATTATGAAAGTCCAAGGCGGTTGAGCGTTGATCAGTTTGAATTTCGTGCCTACTTTGTGCCTTTCTTGTCGGCAGTTCAAGTCTTTAGGAACAGTAAAAGTCATTCCACCCATAGTAACACCAGAATTTCTTCTCCTGGAGTTTCTAAGGCTTGTGATATTGGTTCCACTTCACTAAACTCTACTAATGTCGATCATCTTCCAATATTTTCAGTTCTTGTTCCACAGTCGCACACTACAGAACCAAGTAGTCAGTCCCAAGTAAATGATGTGGTTAGATCTGAACCATCTGCAGCTTCTTCTAAAGATATGTTACCTGTTGAATCTGTTGACTTGGCATGTTCTGATTGTCTTGAACTAGTTTTTGAGTACTTTGAATCTGAACAGCCTCAGCAAAGACGAGCATTATGTGAAAAGTAAGTATTAATTTTATTTCTTGTCTCTAGTTTCCCTTTGCAATTTCACTGCTTTTGACATCTGATATTATCCGATCTGATATGATCCTCTCGGATTGTATCATTTTACTTTTATGTGTTAAGTTTCCTACCTAAGTGGAATCAACTCACACCTCATGGTTTCCTTTCAAGTGTCTCCACTATTCTCACTGTTTCCTTTCAACCACTTCCCCTGTTCTCTGCTGTCACCTGCCAAGCATATGACCTCATGGTTTCCTTTCAAGTATCTCCACTATTCTCATTGTTTCCTTTCAATCATTTCCCCTATTCTCTGCTTTCACCTGCCAAGCATAAGCATAGTAGTTTTCTGTTGTGATTGCATGGATACAAATCTTGATGCTAAATACTCATAAAACTTTATCTTTCTCTCGTGATTGCATGGATACAAATTTTGATGCTAAATACTCATAAAACTTTATTTTTCTCATTCTTAACTTCTAACATATTTAATGAGTGGAATCGTGACCCTGACTGCTCATGCTTCTGAGAGAATGGTAAACTGAATGCAGTAAAAATGCTTTTTTAGCCTCATAAGTCTTAGGTGTCCTTTTTTTAATTCTGTACTTGTGTTTCTTCTGGCTGTGGCTGCATTGTTATTAAAAATATCTATAATTAGTTGTTCTTGTTTTAATTAAACGAAAACAAGCATTTAACGGTGGGACAGCCGGGAAGGTATAGGTTAACATAGTATTTAATTTGTCACTATGAGTTAACCCTTTGGCTTGTTGGCAGCTTTGGGGAAATCTAGTTTGCTAATAAAAATAACAATTTTATTTCAAATTCCTTGATCCTGGTTCTGTTTGTTTCAGGATACAAGAACTGGTTAGAGGCGATGTATCTCCTCAGTGCAAAATGTATGGGGATCCAGTTAATCTGAACTCCATAAATATACATGATCTGCATCCTCGATCTTGGTTAGTGATAGAATATGCTTCACTTAACAAAAAGTGAAAATTTGTTTTGGTCTTATTTAACGTAAGATGAAATTTATGTATTATCTAGTTATACCAAGAGTCCTTTTAATGTTTGGTTGCTTCTATATTTCAGGTATTCTGTTGCATGGTATCCTATTTATAGAATTCCAGATGGAAATTTTCGTGCAGCATTTTTGACATACCATTCACTTGGCCATTTTGTTCGTAGAAGTTCCAAGTTTGATTACCCTAGTGTGGATTCATGTATAGTATCTCCTGTTGTTGGTCTTCAGAGTTACAATGCTCAGGTACCCATAATTGATTACTCAAATTTTGAAGATCAACTTTGAAACTTTAGGTGGCTTTGTCTTGCTTTTCTCTTTTTTTTTTTTTTTTCCTAACAGGTTTTAAGATGTCCTCTGTTGGCTAATTTATATTGTTTGGACAAATCTCCTTACCCGAACTTTGATGTATATATGAGCATGCACCAATCATTAACTTTGATAGGAACTTCTTGGTCTTTAAGCTTGCAGGCTTTTATGGGATAGAAACAGTCATATGTGTATACTGTTTTAATTCTAATCGACAAAGGCAAGCTTATTAACTGTGTAAATTCTATTTTACTGTCATAAAGATATCTTTGACCACTGATTCAGTGTTTTGTTTGACTTTGACATTAAGATATGAAATCTCAACCTTTTAGGAGCTTAAGAGAAATGCTAGAGTTAGATATGTACTTGTTTGAAAATAAATGGTAACATTTTAGCTTTGTACTTTTTTGTTTGAAAATAAATGTTAGCATTTCATTAAGTTAGTTTGTATTTTAATAAGGGTTATTGGAATAATGAATTATATTTTGGGACATACTAAAATAATAAGATGAATATTCAAGTTAAAATTTGGGGGAGTATTATATATTTATATCTATATACTAGGGTGTTTTTGTCTAAAGATCACCCTCTCTTTAAGGTGAAACCATTTAACTTGATGTTGGAAGTTTAGAAATTTAGGATCACGGAGGCAAATACCAAATTGGATGATCCCATCTGATCACGTAACTAAGAGCTCAATCAGCTGCTTTACTCCCCATTTCATCAGCATCTCAAATGAATATTGCCTTCTAGTCATTTGCGCCAAATATAGAATCAACTCTGTTTTATGAAACTTTCCAATCTGACGTATATGCATGTTTAATAGTCAAAGTAAGCTTTGAGAACCTCATGTTATTAACAAATGTACTTATACTGGTATTGGTTGAGTCTGTATTATGAATAATTACATTAAAGTATCCTATGCTTGAGCCCTTAGATAAAATCTGAGGACTGGAATTGGTTGAAATAATATTGTTACTTTTCTGTGTAGGTTTGAATAAGGAGAATGCACCTGATGTCTCTTGGATCAAAATACATGAACTGGTTTTGCCTTTATTGCTTAGATACGGCCTTGTGCTGTCTATTTATTCTAGATATTGACTTCAGAACTTAGTTTACAAAAGTAAACATTCCGTTCATAAACTACCATGAAATTATTGATTTGGTGTTCACTTCAGCTGTTGATTATCAAACAACAATGCCATTAGTCGATATAATGTGAAAGCGTATCTTTTCCTTATTTTGTCACTGCCTTCCATTAGTTATTAAATTTTGTTGTGCTGCCAATGATTATGTACTGCATATATTTTTAAAGGTGGTGGATTCTTTAATAGTTAATGCAATGGCTTGAACAGGGTGAATGCTGGTTCCAGCCGAGGCACTCTACAATGAATGATACTTCTGGAACCCAGAGCTTAATCCCTTCTGAAATACTGAAGGAGCGGTTAAGGACTCTCGAGGAGACTGCATCTCTTATGGCAAGGGCTGTTGTCAACAAAGGAATTCAGACATCAGTTAACAGACACCCGGATTACGAGTTCTTCCTCTCTAGGCAACGACAGTGAATTATGTAAAATTAACAAGTAGCCTCTTCACCTTGTCAATTAGTTCAGCTATGTTCAGGTAGAAGTTAACCTTAATAGGGAGTTCAGTTCATAGTGTTATTTGGCCAGTGAATGCTATATTTATTATGTACAGTTTGTATGAGGTCCTTTTGTCTTCAAAACTTGGTAGAAGGTGCATAGCTTTAGCAGACAAGCCGGACGATGTATATAAGTTTGTTTAATCAAAGTTGAAAATTTTACAAGTTTATAGTGTTCAAACCATGCATAGAAGCCCACAAACATGCAGGTTTTACATAAGATGAATTAATAAGTAAATTGCATCAAGTGTTTGCTTTCAGAAAAATATAGGGAGAAGCATGAGATTATGATATATCATGAAGCCAGGAATCATGTTTGACCCCATTGAAGGTGATATTTTCATCTCTGATACCTTCAGCTGGACTAGTGAATGGATGTGGATGCAGCGTTTTTTTGCCAGGCAGGCTCCACCCAATATTGATTGTTTGATCAGACCTATGTTTTGTTTGGTGCTGCTTGGAATTCGACTTGGAACCGGGCAATGGAATGGTTGAGGGTGGTAAAAAAAAATCCAAATATATATATATATATATATGTATATATATATTTATATAAGGTAATTACTTAAAAGTGCAAATTTCTTTTCAAAAAAGAAAGTACATAATTTCAAGAATTGTAATTCGTATTGCATATAAAGAATAGAAAAAATAAATATAAGTCTAACTAATAATTTTCTTTAAAATTGCAAATGTTTCAAAAAAAAAAAAAAAAAACTAAAAGGTTATTGCAAATAAAAGAAAAAAAAGTTGCATCCATAATTGATTTTGTATACAAAATAGATATAGCAACAAAATTTTTCTCGATTAATATATTTTCTTAGAAATAAATAGTGTCATATTTATTAGATTAATTGAGAAGGTAAAAATTCATAATTTAATATGTTAATAATCAAGCTTAATAATACGTATATGAAAAGAAAACCAAATTACAGGATTTATTAATTAATTAATTATGTGTTGAATTTCTATCCATTATTAATTTTTTATTACACGAAAAAAATTATAGTACGAGAATAAAGAAAAATAATTATAAATGTTAAAATTTAAATTTCAAATCTGTTGATATTACTTCTTAAATATTGTTAGGTGAACTAACTAGATTAAAACCTAGTTTAGTATTACTGATGGAAAAAAAAACTTTGTTTGGAATAAGTGCTTTTAAAAAGTGTAAAAAATTATTATGAAAATTATAGTTTAAGATTTTTTAACATTTAGCATTGTGTGAAAAATTAAAATATTTAAAAAGTACATAATGTTAGAAAGGAAAAATAAGTTATTTTTATCAAATTGAATAGGTATTTGATAATTTTATCTTCAAATCATAAATTTTAAATCGTAACTGCAATTTTCAATTAACTTTTACGGTTGGCTCACTTTTAATGATTAAAAAATACATTTGACACAAATCATAGTGAATATAACATCACTTTTGCATTCAAAAGCTGCGTTTTGACACTCAAATACACTACCAAGCGAAGGTTAATATGGATTGTATCCATTATTATTTTACAATTATATATATATATATATATTGGCCAATCAAAGAAATATTTCATTTCTTCAGTAATCATTTACACTTCTAGCAAAGTTTTAATGCTTTCTCACATAACATCCTAACTTTCACCCAAGAAGGTGTTTAGTTCGTTGAATCATAGATCTTGAGAGAATATAATCTCTAAAAAAGTCTGATTATGAGAAAAGTGTAAATTTTCATGGCATCTAATTTTTAAATTTTTGTGTTTTTTAAAATTATTTAATTATATATTTTTATTATAATGTCTTTCGTTACATAATAAAGATAACAATTTGTCAAATAAAAATAATTAACAATAATGCATTTATCTTTGAAAAAGCACAATAATTGATTATTTTAATAAAATTATAATGTATAATTACTACGTTTATGACCAATCAATGCAATAATTAATTATTTAAAAAAAATTATAAAAAACAATTACTACATTTATTTTTTAAAAAAATAATATTTGATATTTTAAATAAATTACAATAATCAATTATTACGTTTCCTTGAATAAAAACACAGTAATTGGTTTCTTAGCACATTAATTGACTTATCATTAATGGGTTATGGTGTTATTAATTGGCTTATAATTGGTAATTATTGCATTTCTTTGAATAGAAATGCAGTAATTGGCTTCTCAACACATTAATTGACTTATCATTAATGGGTTATAGTGTCGTTAATTGGTTTGTCATTGGCAAGTATTGTATTTTCTTGAATAGAAATACAATAATTGGCTTCTTAGTGCATTAATTGGCTTATCATTAATGGGTTATAGTATCATTAATTGGTTTATCATTGGCGATTACTACGTTTCCTTGAATAAAAACACAATAAATAATAATAATTACTACGTTTCCTTAAATAGAAACGTAGTAATTAGCTTCTTAGCACATTAATTGGTTTATCATTTAATGTTGTTAATATTATGTTTTTGTTTTTTAAAAAATATGTAGTAAATAATCACAATTACAACGTTTGTTTAAAAAAATTTATAATCTCTTTATCATACATTAATTTTCAAAAGGATAAACTAAAAAGAAAATATTTTTTATTTAAGTCAAATTTGGGATAAAAATAACTTGTCACCCCATAATCTTAGAATACCATAAGGAAATGTGGGTTTTTTATTTTGGGACTTTTTGGCACTAATGGGAATCTAAGATTTTTTCCAAGAATTGGATACATGTGAACCAAACATGAGAATCAAATACCTAAAAGCAAGATTCAAGGGAAAAATCTTAAATTCTCTCAAACCAAATACCCTTAAGGGGGTGTTTGGTTTGTAAAATCGTAGATTCTGAAAAAAAATATGATCCTTGAAAAAGTGCAAGTTTTAGGGCTTTTTTTTTATTTTCAGAGTATTTCGTGTTTGATTCACTCGTTTGGTTGGGAGGAATCCACATATATTAAATCTTGAATAATTACCATATGTTCTTTGGCATATATGATGGTAACTTAAATAACCCCATTCAATTAATTGAATGGGGTTATTCACTATGTTATCTGATAAAAAATGTCTCAAATAATCTTTTATAAAAATTGAATATGACTATTTAAGGAGTTTTTGACCTAAAATGCCTTGAATAATCCCCTTTAATTTTTTTGGGGATTATTTTAGACGTTTTTTGCTAGAAAATGCTTTAAATAATCTCTTAATAAAAATTGAAAAGGATTATTCAAGATGTTTCTGACAAAACACGTATTGAATAATCCCCAAAAAAAAATCCCCTCCCATTTTATTTGGGGATTATTCTAGGTGTTTTTCACTAGAAAACACATTGAATAATGTCTTATAAAAAATTGAATTAGTTATTCAAGATGTTTCTAGCTAAAAACACCTTCAATAATCCCCTTCAATTTTGATGAGGGGATTATTTAATATGTTTTTGGTAAAAAAGACCTTCAATAATCCCCTTAAAAAATTGAATGGGTTATTCAAGGTATTTGTGATAAAAAAAAACACCTTGAATAATTTTCTTTAATTTTTTAAGGGGATTATTCCTCTTAAAAAATTGAATGGATTTTTTCAGGCATTTTTTTTGGTCAAAAACGCTTTGAATAATCTCTTTCAATTTTTTGAAGAAATTATTCAAGGCTTTTTTGACCAAAAACACATTAAATAATCCTTTACAAAAAATTGAATGGGGTTATTCAAGGTATTTTTGGCCAAAAATAGCTTGAATAATCCCCTTAAACTCTTATTAAGGGATTATTCAAGACATTTTTGGCCAAAAATGCTTTAAATAATCCCCTCCTATTTTTTGGGGGATTATTTAAGGTGTTTTTGGCCAAAAAAATACCTTAAATAATTTCTTACAAAAAATTTAAAGGGTTATTCAACGTGTTTCTAATCAAAAATACCTTAAATAATTCCCTTCAATTTTTGTAAAAAGATTACTCAAATGCATTTTTGATCAAAAATGCATTTGAGTAATCCTCTCCAATTTTCTTTTAGGATTATTCAAGGTGTTTTTGCCTAGAAAACCCCTTAAATAATCTTTGACAAAAAATTGAATGGGATTATTTAAGGGGTTTCTGACTAGAAAATACCTTAAATAACTTTTTTTTATAATATCAAGAATCATTTAAGGTTTTTTTTGGTAAAACACCTTTAGTGATCATTTTTAAAATTTATTCTCTTTTCTTGAACTTTGAAAACCTAAACGGCTAATACAGTGAATCATAAAAAGTTGCATTGCAACTAACCCCTAAACCATCAACTCATTTAGTTTGCCTTTTGGTTTTTTCATTTCTCTCATCGCCATTGACCATCAACAAATCAATGCTGTCACACCTCTCTTTTTATCGATATGTGCATATTTTATCTATTTTTTGTATTATTTATATTTTTTAATATAGGTTTTTTTTTTGTTCCTTACTATATATATATATAAATTTTTTTTGTGTTTTTATTCATTCCACCGTCACTTTAGTTGCCCAACCTTCCTTCATTGCATCTATGGTGTTTCTTTGTAATTTGGTTTAGAGATTGTGGTTTGCTTAATGGTATTGTGAAAATTGTGTGTATTTTTGTACTCATCATTTGTTTTGCATGAAACTCTTATTTAAGTTAGGAATCACAGTATAGTTTATACCTGTAAAATATTATTGGTTTGAGGATTTTTACATATATTGGTCTAGTAATTGTAGTATGATATTGATTGTATTTTATAACTGTGTGAAATTTAGAGAGACTGTTTGGTGTATTTAGTATACTTATGATAAAAATCGTAGGTATTATGGATTTTGAAGAATATATGTCTCCTACTATTAAGCATGAAGAAGACACACTAGTAGTGAAAAAAAAAAAAGCAAGAGGATGAAATAAACAAATTAAAGTGATTGACAAAAAAATTCACAACCACTTCAATCAAAATGGGCAACCTATGTCTGATGGAGTTGCCAAGTTGGCTAGTCACATTGGAGTCGTAGTCCGTAGTAACATTTCTATTACGTACCATAATTGACGATGAGTTTTTGATGATCTAAAAAATTATATATAAGAGTTGGTTATGGTATGTTTATTCAACTCTTTCATAAAACTTGTTAAATGATCATTTAATTGAAATGCAATGTGTTCACACAAATTTTTTTAAATTTATTAGGAACACTTTGACGTCCAAAATGAGTATAAAAAGCTTATGTTGCAATTGGTTGGAAAAACATTTAGAGACTTTAAAAGTAGATTGACAATTAAATATATTTTACCATTCGCTGATAATAGTGATTTGTTGGCAAATCCTCCTTCGTCATATGTAGATGTTATCAATTATTAAGATTGGATGAATTTTATTTGAGATCAACTATCAGAAGAATTCTCGGTATGCATATCCATTATATTAATTGTTTATAAGATTTTATGTAATATATTCGATATCTTAATATGTGATTTACCTTATTTCTTTCTTTTCTAGAAAATCAA